CTCCCACTCTGTCCCGGATAGCTTCATTCTTAATCTTATCTCTCCTGGTACACCCACACATCCTTCTCAACATCCTCATCTCTGCTACTTTCATCTTTTGCACGTGGGAGTTCTTGACTGGCCAACACTCAGCCCCATACAGCATAGCTGGTCGAACCACCACTCTATAAAACTTACCCTTAAGTCTTGGCGGCACACTCTTATCACATAAAACACCGGAGGCGAGCCCCCACCTCATCCATCCTGCTCCGATGCGATGTGCGACATCTTCGTCAATCTCCCTGTTACCTTGGATAATAGACCCGAGATACTTAAAACTCGCTCTCTTGGGTATAACTTGAGCATCAAGCTTTACCTCTACGTCTGCTTCATGGGTCACATCACTGAATTTGCACTCCAAGTATTCTGTCTTGGTTCTACTCAGTTTGAAACCTTTAGACTCCAAAGTCTGTCTCCAAACCTCCAACCTCGCGTTAACTCCGCTTCGCGTCTCGTCAATCAACACTATATCATCGACAAATAGCATGCACTAAGGCACCTCCCCTTGGATGTGTCGCGACAGTACATCCATCGCCAAGGCAAATAAAAACGGGCTAAGAGCCGATCCTGATGCAACCCCATCACCACAGGGAAATGCTCTGAGTCACCACCCACAGTCCTCACCCGAGTCTTAGCATCATCATACATATCCTTAATCACCCTAATGTACGCTACCGGAAGGCCGCTAACCTCCAAACACTTCCACAGGACCTCCCTCGGGACTTTATCGTATGCTTTCTCAAGGTTAATAAACACCATATACAAGTCCTTCTTCCTCTCCCTGTACTGCTCCACTAATCTCCTTATCAGATGAATCGCTTCCGTAGTCGAACGCCCCGGCATGAATCCAAACTGATTCTCGGAAATAGACACGCACCTCCTCACCCTGGCCTCCACCACCCTCTCCCAAACCTTCATAGTGTGACTCAACAGCTTGATACCCCTATAATTGTTGCAATTTTGGATATCACCCTTGTTCTTGAAACCAACAAATATTCAAAATCTTAAAATATTCAAAATCTTCATAGTTACCTTCATAGTGTATGATAACTAGAAGAATTAAAATATTCAAAATCTTAAAACCAACAAATAGGTACTTTATAAAGGGGTCAAAGTACCTTTCTAACAGTTGCACTTTTTGCTTGGGTCTTTTCCCATAAAGAACTTGAAAGGAGGAACTCAAAACCTCCTCCAAATTAGCTGCTTGGAAGAGCCTCAAATCTCTTCTCACCTAATATCAACAAAACAAGTATATAAAGTAAGAAGTGCACTTTGGACTAAAAGCAAATCCCCATCAATCCCCGTATCTATGTATGAATAAACTTTGGTAACAACCTTTGACAGGTACTGGAAATAGGAGCATCTTCGATGCTAGTTGGTTATATAAATAAAGCAAACCCCATTTGTCCACATGCATCTATGAATAAAAATTGGTAAATTTACAACCTTTAAGAGGTACTGAAAATAAGAGCATCTTCTATGCTGGTTCTTGTTTTTGTAAACGAGTCGATCAAGTATGGCAAACTCTGTCTGGAGCTGACCAGCAAAAGCTTTTAGCCTCTGCTCAACTATTTCCATCTCTGAGCCCATAATTTCAGCTGTCATGAAGCAAAATCATAAGACATAATAAAAATCCGCCATCCGGAATCTGTATAGCCAATACATGTTCAGATTCTTTGCTTTTCTAATACAACACTGACCCTATTTAGGGCCGGCTCAATGATATTTGTGGCCTAAATAAAACATTAGGCCAAGTTTATATTTATTTATTTGTAAATTAATTTTTTACAAGTTTGTGACATGCAGAATTATTCTTTTTCTTGGATTTCATTACCCTCTGACTCAATTAAATTGGAGGCTTGTTCATTTAAGAACACTTTCTCATGCCTTTTTATTTAACTTTTTTATTGTTTAATGAAAATTTATTAAGAGTACCTTTTTGAGATCAATGTTTTGGAGAGCGAGAGGTGACAAAAAGCGACAAGCTTTTTGCAGTGAAGCGCCAATTAATACAAAAAAAATAAAAATATCAAATTTGCATATATAAATAACCAAAAACTCAATAGTAATAACATATTAGCAATTATTTCATTGAATATACTGTTTAAGAGAGAAATTAATTGTAATTAAAGAAAGAAAAGAACAATTAATTGTAATTGTAATTATAGAGAAAAGTTAAGATGCAATTACTTGTATACAAAAACTGTTAAAATAAAATAAAATAAAATAGAGAAACAGAAGAAGAAAGACTAGTAGAAAAGAAAGAAAACATATTTGAAAGAAAAGAAAGAAAGAACAGTTATGCCGGAAATCAGTTACTGCTGGAAAGAAGAAGAACAAAGAAAACTTACTGCCGGAAGAAGAAAAAAGAAAATAAAGAAGAAAGAAGAGATGACTTGCTGCCGGAAAAAGATGCCGGAAAACATAGGACTTACTGCCGGAAAAAGAAAAAGAAAAGAAAGAAGAAAGAAGAGAAATCATTTTTATTTAAGAGATGCGGCTGTGCTGACTGCTGAAAAAGGAAGAAATGGTCTGAAGAGAAGAAAACACTAATGTTTTATTTAAGTCTCTTGTTATTTTTTTTTTATTTTAAAAAAGCGACGCTTCTGTCGCCTCCACGCCTCGTCGCCTCGCTGCCGCTTTTCTAAAAACGCTAAGTCTCAGATGAAAATAGTGTTAAGCTTCTGCTTCGCGTCGCCTCAAGCTGTTAGCGCTGAGCTGAGGCGAGCGCTATTTACAACACTGATTTTATTTGTATTAGTGTTATTCGTACATATTTTAATTGTTGGCATATTTAAACTCTGATTTAAAAAATAGATATAAAAAAGTTAGAACGATTCTGAAAATTGATAACTTGATGATTGATATCAAACTATAATAATCCATGGGAGAATTTCACTACTTCAATGCGCTTACTTCAATGCTTGAAAATGAAGGTGCGATTTAAATTAGTCAATACATTGTTCTGTTTTACAGAAAGAACATATATACATATATGAATATGAAAGACATGACCTACTATAAAATGTGGCTTGTCAAAAATTATTAATCTTTTTACACATAAAGGCTCATTATGCTCATGTCTCCTCCTTTAAGTTGTCCTTTTTCATAATTACTTCTTTTTACAAAGAACTAGTGATTTTTTACAAAAATTCAACTTTATTTTAACAAAAATATTAAAGACATAAAGATTACTAACAATATTTGGGGGGCTCAATTTTTGAAGGGCCAAAAGCTAGGGCCTCACTTGCTTGACCCTTGGACCACCCTTGACCCTATTTCATGTTGTCGTAAAGGCCATTAACAGGAGGGGTGGGTATCGTCCAATTCGGTTCGATTTTTGGAAAGTTTTGTTAGATTTTTCAGTTATCGATTTTTGTAAAATTGCAAATTTCAGGGTTTAGTTCAAGTGGAAAAGGTTGAGGCATTAGTGACTTAGGTCAAATATTCGAGTCCTGCGCCATACGAACTAAGCCTGATGTTTAAGTGGAGAAGATTAGAGGGCGCCCATTATCCCCGAGTTTCAAAGGCTGCGATAGGTCCTAAGGGTTGCCTCAGACATATTTCTCGATTATCAGGAAAAAAAAGTTCAGATAGGTTATTTCGGTTTGCGCCTCTCCAAATTGGGCTTCATCTGGCCAAAAAAGGGCTTCCAAACCTTTTAGCTTTTTCAAATTTTGCTTCTGGCACAAACGAAGGGATATATGATGGCATATTTTCTGCAACGGTGGAAGGGGCCTAATGTTTAATCTCAAGTCATGCATGTAGAAATTTGAGGCACCACATCAACTGCCCTTCAGTTTGCAATACATATACATTGCACTTTAACTACTAAGAATTCAATGACAACACTATTCACAATTTCATCTGCTTCAACAAGCAAAGAAAATTACTCAAGCATGAACATCATAGAGGCAAAGCAATATTGGACATAAAACATCAGTCCACAATGGAGCAGCGGACAAGAAAAATATAGCATAAAAATGATCCCTAGTAAAAATAATTTTCTTTATACTATTCAATTAATTAACTGAGAATACAAAAATAAGGTAAGCAGAATTTGGTAGCAGAATTACAAAGCTGGCTGACTCATATAACTTCTTTTTTTTCATTCATATAACTTTAGTAATAATTCAATAACATAGAAGAGATTCAATAACATAGAAGAGCTAAGAGGAGAGTTAAATACCTCTAGATAAGAATGGCAACGGCGGCAACTGCAACGGCGACGGGCATAAGTTTGCTTCGAGTGCAGAGCAATTGCAGACTTGCTGTCGACTACGGAATGAGGAGCCAAAAAACCGTTAGTATTTTGGGTTGGATTTGTCTATGGCCTATTGAGTTTGGAACTTTGGATTGGACTAAGGAGTTTGGATTGGACTAAGGATTGGACTAGTACCCAGTTTATAATAAGTTGCTAATATCTGGACGATAATACCCTTGTAATAAACAAAAACTTGTACGACCTTCATCGCAGTAGATCCGTCCAACACTTAAGTTCTCAATGATTTTCTCTACAACTTAAATCGTTCTCTTTAATATTATGTAATATCTCATTTTGTTCTCTTTATTTTCTGGGTACTTTCCTGTTTAATTATTGGTTTCAGATTTAAAGCCTGAGATGAAGTAGTAATAGCTATGGCGGAAGATGTAATGATTCACGAAGAGCTTTCTTCGAATTCTTGCTGCATTTTGGTGAGTATTTTGAGGTGGGGTTTCTATTTCTCTATCAATTTTTAGTTGCTTATGTCGATAGATTTTCGATTTTTTTTGTTTGGGTTACAGTGGGGAAAGAAGTTTATTAAGTTGAAAGATAACTACTGGAAGCTTGAAGAACGTAGAAATGCTCTTCGTAAAAGTCTCTCCAGTCTCCATTTATAAGGAACAAGTTTTAAAATATAAATTCTCAGAATCTCACTCTCAAAAAAGGTTAGAGTTTTTCTTAGGAACTATATAGTTGATACATTTGAGTCTGAAGATAGGCTTGATAGTTCAAACTTTAAACATATAGATCTGCAGTTGGGTCCCTGCGGATTGACAAGGTTAACTTCAGTCTGAAATGTGTGAAGTTCAACCGCATAAGCAATATGTCAAGGTTAATTTCAGACATACAAATCGAAAGTTGGGGATTGCGGACTGCCGACTGCCAACGTTAACTTCAGTCTGAAATTTCTAAAGTTCGAATGGCACATGGAATATGCTAGGTTAACTTCAGACATACAGATCTGAAGTTGGATATTGCGGACTGCCAATGTTAACTTCAGTCCAAAATGTCTGAAGTTTGAACTGAACAAGCAATATGCCGAGGTTAACTTCAGTCCGAAATATTCGAAGCAATATGTCAAGGTTAACTTCAGTCCGAAATGTCTGAAGTTCGAACTGCACAAGCAATATGCCAAGGTTAACTTCAGTCCGAGATGTCTGAAGTTCGAACTGCACAAGCAATATGCCAAGGCTAACTTCAGACATACAGGTATGAAGTTGAAACTTCAATTATATGCAAGCCTAATCAAAATGTCTCAAGTTCGAACTGCACAAGCAATATGCCGAGGTTAACTTCAGTCCGAAATGTCTGAGGTTCGAACTGTACAAGCAATATGCCAAGTTTAACTTCAGACATATAGGTCTGAAGTTGTTGAAACTTCAATTATATGCAAGCCTAATCAAAATGTCTCAAGTTCGAACTGCACAAGCAATATGCCGAGGTTAACTTCAGTCCGAAATGTCTCAAGTTCGAATTGCACAAGCAATATGCCAAGGTTAACTTCAGACATATAGATCTGAAGTTGTTGAAACTTCAATAATTATATGCAAGCCTAATCAAAATGTCTCAAGTTCGAACTGCACAAGCAATATATCAAGGTTAACTTCAGTCCGAAATGTCTGAAGTTCGAACTGCACAAGCAATATGCCAAGGTTAACTTCAGTCTGAAATGTCTGAAGTTCGAACTGCATAAGCAATATGCCAAGGTTAACTTCAGGCATACAGGTATGAAGTTGTTGAAACTTCAATTATATGCAAGCCTAATCAAAATGTCTCAAGTTCGAACTGCACAAGCAATATGCCGAGGTTAACTTCAATCCGAAATGTCTGAAGTTCGAATTGCATAAGCAATATGCCAAGGTTAACTTCAGTCATATAGGTATGAAGTAGTTGAAACTTCAATTATATGCAAGCCTAATCAAAATGTCTGAAGTTCAAACTGCACAAGCAATATGTCGAGGTTAACTTCAGTCCGAAATGTCTCAAGTTTGAACTGCACAAGCAATATACTAAGGTTAACTTCAGACATATAGGTCTGACGTTGTTGAAACTTCAATTATATGCAAGCCTAATATCTTATCCGTATGTCTGGAGTTGTTGAAACTTCAGACGCGATGGACTGAAATTTGCTTGCTATTGCTGAACTTCATACCCATGGCAGTTTTCTTTCGATCTCCATGGTGATGCATGTAATTCCTCCTTTTTCGCTGCTAAATTTCTATTAATGGTAACCAGAGATATTAGATTAACCAGATTTTGGATTAGCTTCTCTGTCTCACAATCACACCATATGCAGACTAATTCTTCTTCATGGAAAAAGAAGACTAATGATTTTCTAAGATGGATAATTTCTTTTGTGAGTTCTATACATTTTTGTCATGAAAAGATGATCAGATTTTCTCACAAAATAGACCAAATTGATTAATTGTAGTTGTGGTAGAGGTTTGCACAATAACAATTCGATATAATGCTTAACAAAATATTGCCAATCAACCTTATCAAAACTCTCAATCAATTATAGGGTATAGGTTATAGTTGTCTGGGGTTACATAAATGGTTTTAGTCTTCAATATCTCAGCTTGATTAAAGTTGGTCTTTGTGTTTGCTGAATTCAAGTTGATTAATTTCTCAGGTTGTGGAAAGTTTTATGAAAAGGTGAAAGAAACTCTGTTATAGTCCTCTTCCAGGAGGCAATCATAATATTTTCTAAAACTAATTTTGGAATATCACCGCTAGATCCTGTAATTGGTTTGTTTATCTAGACTATGAAGTGAAAATTTGTTATTTTTTCTCCTGTATTAATAATTGTGTGCTTGTACATACTTTCTACTGCTGTTGATAATGTAGTAAACTTTCTCTCCGCCAAGTGGTAGTGCTAAACCTTCATTTTAGTTGAGAAGAACAATTAGACCTAAATGTCTGAAGTTTGTACTGCTACAAGTGAACGTCAGGCATCGACTCTGAAGTTTGCACTGCTACAAGCTGGATACAGAGATAATTTTGTTTTGAAGATTTTGTAAGCTGATTTCTTACCAACTGGATGTTCTTGGACATTCACCTGGTGCTTGAGCAGGTCATATTTCTGTTATTTCTTGGTTAGATGCAAGTAACAGATGCTGTAGTCTTTCAGTAAATAGGTTCTTTGCTTTAGCATAAGGTGAAAATATTGGCATTTAGCCGTAATAGAGTTCGGGTGCGTAGATCTGAGGCTATCTTTATTTTTTTCTGAAGTTTGTTTGTATATTGCATAACTAGAAATCATGTACTAGATTCTTGTTTTGATTTTGATTTTCTGCTTAATAATTCTGTCCTTAAGAAAATCAGATACATGAGAGTTTATTATAGAGCTCCTATTGTATGTTACATTACAATGACATTTGGTCTTTATAACTGTCGGAATTGAGATCATGAAAATATTTTCGTTGGAGGGATGAAGAAATTGATTCATGATCCATAGTTGTTCTAAAGAGAAATGGAAGACCATATACACGAGGCCCTAATTATCAATATCAGAGTAAACCATGATGGTGGAAACTGTTGGGAAAATAAATATATCCCGTCCAGGAATAATATTCACGGTAAATAATAATAACATAAGAAAGTAACAATAACACCAAATCTTTTAACGGGATAAAATACAATATTCGAGCGGAGCAATATTACCACTATAATATTACAAATTAATAGTGTCAAGAGATTACTACAACTTCGAAAGAAATAACACTCTTTATTTTAAAACACCTCACTACAATAATATTGTCACTCACTATTTATCTTACAGACAACAATATGTTACTCTCACTTTTTTGCTTTTTGTATAGCTTCTCTTTTTTTTGCTTTTTGTATAACTTCTCTTTATTTTTGATGTATTAAACAGAAAAGGAAAGCATCTTTATTTATAGCCAAAGTTGACAAACTCTTAGCCAATTGTTCAGCCGTCCAACTTGGCAAATCACACTTTCTTTCTCAACTTTTTTCAATCCTTTTCTTTATTTCTTTCATGGGTCCCACAGAAACTAGATAACATTGACTTCTTTTAGTTTCTGGTGTATTTCTAGAGGTGAAGACTAGATATTGAAGTTATTTCCAGAGGTCAAAATAAACCACTGCAATTTTTTTTGTTCCACATATTTTCTAATTCTTGTAGTTGTGTGATGTTGTTTCTAATGTTGGAGAGAATGGTTTTTTGGTCTATGTGTGTGCAGCAAGTTGATGCTAGAAAAAAAAAATATAAAAATGGATATTCGTCGAGGTAAGTGTCTTGTTTAATCTCGAGTGGGGGAATTACCCCTTAGGCATCGAGTCTTATGTATTGTGAAATGTGAAAAGCTGTGTACGCGATGTGACGAGTACGTACTCGGCTTATATGTGTAAATTTTATTGAGTTAAAGTCTTGAGCATATTGTGTGGTAAATTGGATAATTATTGGTATATATTTAATCATCTATTTATCGTGCCTAAATCCTTGTTGTTGTTGAATCTATTGTTATATGACAATTTGATGTGATTGTTACTTGATTATTTATGTAATTCCGTGAATTTGGTGGTTTGATAATTATTGGAATTTAATTTCATTATGGATTTTTCCTCTGCAAATAATTAATTAAATGAGCTTAAGAAGAGGTGTTTATATAATTATTGAAAATTTAAATTTAATGAAGACTTTATTTTATGTTAAGTAATTTCTATCTCTATTGATTGTTTTTGGGTATCGTACACATTGTGTGGAGCTTTTGGCTATTTGTTGTGAAATTAATTGACTTGGTTGTAGTTTTGAAATTTGGTTGTGGCCATTGGGCAAATTGTGATATGAATTGATTTTGTTATGTTACCGTGATAATTTTCCGTGTAAATTGTTGTGTTGTGTTAATTATTATTTTGAGGATATAAGGGTGACATTTAACCGTTGATATTATGTGGGTATAAGGGTGACATTTCACTGTGGTTGTGTTTGTTAGAATATGGTCTGGGTGGAGCGATAAGGGTGGCTATATGAGCGATAAGGGTGGCTATTGATATTGTCTGGGCAGAGCGATAAGGGTGGCTATAGGAGCGATAAGGGTGGCTATTGTCAGGAACGATATGTGGCGATGTGGAGTTGTGGTGTTGGTAATTTTCATATGATGTTGTGATTTTCTTGTATTTATTTTTATGCTTTGTGCAATTTGTCTTGTTGTTGGTAAATTGATAATAATCTGATTTATGTTGAAATTGGGAGCCTGTGGCTATTGCCAGGCGGATTATAAAATAAAATGTGGGCACGAGGTGCCGTGAGTAAATAATGAGAATTTTGGCACGCGAATTCTCCGTGCAGTTGTGATATGAAATGTGGGCACTAGGTGATGTGATTAAATGATAATGATATTTGGCACGTGAATTGTCCGTGCAATTGTGATATGAAATGAGGGCACGAGGTGTCGGAGAAATAATATGATTTGATTATGGGCACGAAGTGCCGTAAAAATATGAAAAATGGGCTGAGACCCGTGTTTACGAAAAATATGAAAATGGGCTGAGACCCGTGTTTACGAAAAATATGAAAATGGGCTGAGACCCGTATTTTTATGACTATGAAATGAGGTTTCACGTGGTGACCTTTTAATTGAAAAAATTATATTCAAAATATTTATTTGGAAGGATTTTTATTCAAAAAGAATTATATGAAAGAATTGTAATTGAAATATATTTATTTGAGGAAATTATATTAGAAGAGATTTATTGAAAGAATTTTATATTCGAAAGATGTTTATTTGAGGAAATTATATTTGAAAAAGAGTTTTATTTGTAAGAATTATGTGTGAAAGATATTTAATTGAAGAACTTGATTTAACTGAGTGTAATTGTATTTATCAATTGTTGAGCGATATTAATTGTGATTTTATTGTCTTACTGTGCACATCACTAGTTGTTTTATGTTACCCTTATTGTTATTTGTTTCCTATTATTTTGTATACTATATTACACATGTTATTAGACTAGTGAGTGTCTTGACTGTATCTCGTCTCTACTCCATTGAAGTTAGTCTTGATACTTACTGGGTACCGATCGTGGTGTACTCATATTACACTTCTGCACATTTTTGTGCAGAGCTAGGTGTTGGAGATATCGGACTTGAGCAGAGTTAAAGCGAGATCGTAAGGATTCAAGGTAGAGCTGTTTGGCCGTCGCAGTCCCTTGGAGTTTTTTCATTTCATTGTATTGTTAATTTGTAATCAAACAGTATTGTATATTCGGTACTCGTGATCATTCCATGTATTCAGTTAGAGTTCGTGACTCAGTACTACCAGTCTTGGGAGATTGTATATTTATAATTATTTCCGCTGTTGGTTTCGTTTATAAAAAAAAATAGTTTCGAAATGTAATGGAAATCGGCTTACCTAGTCTTAGAGACTAGGTGTCATCACGACGCATGTGGTGAGATTTTGGGTCGTGACACATATTTTTACAACTTTAATTCGTATGACGCAAGTTATTTCTGAAATAGCTAAACTTGCAAAATATATAAACTCCAGCTAGGGGTGTTCAAACCGAATCGAAAAAATACACCAAACCAAAAGTCAACCCAAACCGATTTAAAAATCATACTAGGTTTGATTTGATTTGGTTTGGTATTGAGTAAAAAATTCTGAAACGAATCGACATATAAATATATAATTTTTATATATACTTTTAAGACTTTATATTGAATTTTCTTTAAAAAATATAAAAATATCTTAGATACTCTCATGAGATATAATATTTAATAGAACTATGAAGTACATTCACTTTAATTTATTATTAATAATGGGTTGTATCATATTCTTATCAAGTGTTACTGAAATGCGTTAATCAATTCTTTGTTCTTTCATATTCATATGTCAAATGTTCTTATTTCTTTTTCGAATTTAAAATGGTATTTCAATAATTAAAAATTAAATAGAATATATCATTATTTAGGTATCATCTTGATTTTTATATTTAATTATTAAATTTAGTTAATTTTGAAAGCGTACATTAAAGAAAGAATATTGTTAGATAACTAAGAAAATAAATATCATGTGTTACTAAAAAATAATTACCCATAAGAATATTTTAATATTTGTCATTTTTTTAAAATTTTTACTAAATATATATATCCATTTATCAAAACTGTATCTAAAACTTTAACAATGTAAGATTGAAATATATTGATGTAAAAAAAAAAAATCCGAAAACCCGACAAAATCATACCAATCCAACCGATATAGTTGGTTTGGTTTGGTTTTGATAAAAACCGAACCAACCCGGTCCATGTACATCCCTAACTCCAGCTATGCCTTAAATGAGGCTTAATTGCACGGGGAGCCCTATTTGATCGCCCCCATTTAACCTATACCCACTTTTTAACTTTTTTTAATTTGTACCCACTTTTTAAACAACTCCAGGCCTCTTTCTCTTCATTCGCTTTTTTTTTTCTCCTCCTCCTCCTCCTCCCCCTTCATCTTCTTCTTCGGGTGACAATGATTTTATATGGTGATTGTGAACATATTTAATTGTAGTTTATGATGTTTTACAATGGTGAGCTGTTAGGGCACTTTATTTTTTACTATTGCTTAGTTTTTTTTTTTAATTGCAAAACGAGTTCATTAGATTTATTGTTGTTCTGACAAATTGATGATTGTGGTTTGTTCCTGATGATATTTGGAGGTTATGTTTCAAATTTGAGTTCATTTGGAGTAGATTTAGTTATTAAATTGTATATTAGATTGTTATAATTCAAAGAACAAATTTCTGTTTCTGGGCAATTTGCACTTCAGGCCTATTTGGCCTTAAGTGCATAAAAATGTTAGTTGCACTTTAGACCATTTAAAGTACAATTTTTTATTTCAGACTTATTGGCCTTAAGTGTAATAAAGCGTTTGTTGTACTTGAGACCTTTTGGCATTAAGTGCATCTGAAGTCCAATTTTCACTTCAGACTTATTGGCATTAAGTTTAGCAAAACGTTTGTTGCACTTCAGATCTTTTGGCCTTAAGTGCATATGAAGTGCAATTTTTTACTTCAGACTTATTGGCCTTAAGTGCATGAAACCATTGGTTACACTTCAGACCTATTTGACCTTAAGTAGATCTGAAGTGCAAATTTTCACTTCAGACTTATTGGGCTTAAGTGAATGAAAATGTTTGTTGCATTTCACACTTTTTGGCTTTAAGTGCATCTGAAGTGCAATTTTTCACTTTAGACTTATTGGCTTTAAGTGCATCTGAAGTGTAATTTTTTACTTCAGACTTATTAGCCTTAAATGCATGAAACCATTGGTTGCACTTCAGACCGATTTGGCCTTAAGTGCATTTGAAATGTAATTTTTTCACTTCAGACTATTTTTTTTAACTTCATACCCGATAAGTTTAAAGTTGATCGTAAAATGG